CCCTTCTGGTGATTAGGTTTGTATAAACTGGTTTGGAAAATGTTAAACTTGTGTGTCTTTTGCCTTTTTAAAGGAATTAACATTGGAACTGAGGGTATGTATAGAGAAGTTGGTGTCAACACCATTTAATAAGTCATATTTTTTCACAAATAACAAAAAATAATTTTAATAAGAATTTTAAGTATTTGCAAAAAATATAAGTATATTGATTGTATGTATTCATATATTCTTATTTATCATTTTATTATTAAGTAAAAGATAATTAAAAGTGAAATAAAAAAAGAATCTCATTGCCCTGTTCACTTGCTTTTACATTAAAGCCTCTTCCCCAGTCTTAGCAGCGGCTGTGAGTGGAAATGAGGCTTGTGTGTCTCTCTAGCAAATTACACAGAGCACTTCTGAAGAATAAGGTTAGTTTCACAGAATAAATTATGGAACTCACTATCACAGGATTTAATTTTTATTATTTATATAAGTTTTTAATTTTGAAGTCTGGGCAAGAAATTAGTACCCAAATTTTAATGATAAGAAAATCAGTAACACAATATAAAAAAAGGAGGGCAAAGGAAGTAATCTACAGTCATCTCCGTGTAGGTGTAGGATATTGGTTCTTAATTTTGGGGAAGATTATCAGCATATAATAAAAAAAAATGTTTCCTCCCTAGAAAAATAATCACAAAATTTGACATAAAACTTTAGGGTACTTTTTACTTTCTGAAGGCTTTCCATAGTCTTTCTGGCACCTATGTTGCTCAGATTATAAAGCCAGAACAAAAAATTTATAGGACTCAGTATATTGCTTCAAAGACATACGAAGCTCCAGAGGTGCCCAAAGTATGACAGGGCAGTTTAGATGCTGAAAGTTTTATAAATATTTGGAATCATTTTAACTGATATATACATACATATATATTCAAAAGGATTTCACTATCATTTCCTGTTAAAAGTTATACAAATTTGAATTCTTTTTATCTGATGGGAAATTGTTTTATGTGTGTTTAAAACAATATGATAGAAAAACAGATTCTTAAAGTGAAACTGGAAAGGCTTTAAGGTTCATCCCAACTGATAAAATTTGGAGTAGCGATGCAGTCTCTTGGAATTTCACATTTTAATGCTCTTTATGATAGAATATTGGCCTATATTATATTTAAGTTCCTCAGATGTTTTAAGATTCTGCATTTTCAAACAATGTATCTAGATCTAATACATTAAGACAAAGAAGTAAATTGTTCTAAAAATTAGAATAGGTTCAATTATTACCAGAGTAACTACATGTTTTTAGGAAGTGAATCCTAGTTAGATGTGGTTGGATTGCTAAATGGCTGAATATGCAAAAGTGGGCGCTAATTAAATCATTAAGCTCAACTCCTATTAAATATTAATGAATTCTCCATGACTTTGAATCAGAAGGGTGTTTTGCATGAGAAGTTCTGACTGGGATGTGAATGATGAATCATCTCCCTCTCTGAGGTGGTCTTTCCCAGCTCCAAGGTACTCATAGGCACTAACCAGGAAATTTAACTGTGGTTGACTGTGTTGTACTTGGCTTTTACCTTAAAAAATAAAAATAAAAAAAGGAACTTTCAATATTGATATCACTATGCTTTAGGCTAAAGGAGCAAAAGACTTTCCCAGAGGAAAAGAGCTTGACATTAAAAAAACACCAGGCTCAGCCAAGACTCCAGCCATCTGAATGTACTCACCATTTGTGTGGCTTTAAATCTGGTTGTACACATGCCAGGACCTAGGCTCAGAAACGCATCTGGGGAGCAGAAGCTGGTTAGGGCAGGCCTCTCCACCCCCTTTTGTTGTTTGTTTTGCAACAAATGTTAGGCACCAAAGAAACAAATGGGTAAAATGGCTTTCTCCTTTCCATCTGGTTCTCTGCCAGAGATACAAAGCCCCCTGCCCCAGCCCCCCAAAAAAGCATGAGATTTCAACCTCTGTCCATTACCATTCTTCTTGATATACAGTTTCCCACCAATACAGAATAAGAAAAAAAAAAAAAAAACAAGAAAGCACACAGTTCTTTTCAATCCCCAATGACTACTACTGTATTTGTGAGATGATACTCTTATGCATTATTTCATAGAACTATATTCTACCACAAAAGAGACACAGAGTCACAGAACTTTAAACTACTGAAATTATCTAAAAAATAAATTGAAAAAATAACAGGTAGTCTTTGATGTGCAAATGGCTTCTGTTCTGTTTGGGAAAAGGAGATTGTTTAAAGCTCAAAATATATTTCTTGTGGTGATAACTTTAAAATAGGTTGATAAGACTCCCAGGGAATGAGTTCAGACAAAGGCAAAAAGAAAAAAGGGAAGGAAGGAAGAATGAAGGAAGGAAGGAAAGAAGGAGGGAGGGAGGAAGGAAGGAAGGGAAGGAGAGAAGAAGGAAGGAAGGAATGAAGGAAGGAAGGAAAGAAGGAGGGAGGGAGGGAGGAAGGAAGGAAGGAAGGAAGGAAGGAGGGGAAGGAGGAAGAGGCAGCCAGAAGGAAGGAGGACACCCCCCTCGCCCACCAGTAGCAAGGTCTTAGGGAGGAAGGGGAAAGAGGGAGAAAGGGACTCTAGATTTTATGTTATACATTCTTAAGTTACATAACCGTAAAAATCAAATGGATTTTCATACAATGACAATGCCATTGTAACTCCAAAAATATCTCATATTTTTGTAATCTAATTCCTTCATGGAAAGAGGAATAGAGGTAGAGAAAGAGAGTAAAAGAGAGGAGGAGAGAAAAAACAAGGAAAGGCATGGCGGAAGACATCTAAATTTAAATTAACATGCAGTGTGTAATATTTTACATTTTCTCATGTTGCAGACATTTCTGTCCATTTCAGATAGAAACTGAGAAACCCTGAGAAGCTGAGTAGCAGTGTGGGAGGCAAGGACTGTCACACAGGCCTGTAAATAATGGAGTACAGAGCCGAGATGTGGGCACCTGTGTTATGCAAAGCTCAGGTTGCTATCTGCCGACATCACAGCTTCAATTTCAGGATATGGGAGACCACAAATTGAGAAGACTGTGGCCACTCCAGCAGCTTGTTATCTATAGAACAACTGCAAAATTTTAATCTTCAAGATTGGAAAAGAGTAAAGCAAAATAAAACTCTACCATGTGGTAGAGAAAGTTTCCATTACGAAGTGTGTTTCTCTAACTGGAAAGATGGATCAGTAATTAACAATGCATACTGCTCTTACAGAAAACCAAAATGGGATTCACAGCACCCATACTGGGTGGCATACAACCACCCATAACCTTAGTTCCAGATGATCCAATGCCCCCTTCTGGCCTGAAAGGACACTGCACTCATTTATACAACTCCCCCCACACACACGCATATATACATAACTTTAATATAAAATAAATAAATAGAAGCATGTTTCTGAGCCAGATATTCATTAATGTTTGTAACTGGCTTAATGTATATTACTATATATTGTAGAATATAATTTCTTTTTGAAATTTTTATCTATTATTTTTAATTTATATGTATGAGTGTGTTGCCTTCATGTATGTACGTGTTCCAGTGTCATGCAATGCCCACGGAGGTCAGAAGAGGGCATTGGATCCCCTGGAACGGGAGTTACAGATGGTTGTTAGCAGCCATATAGGTGTTGGGAGGTGAACCCAGGTCCTCTGCAAGAGCAGCCAGTGTTCTTAATCTCTGAGCTGTCTCTCCAGCCTCAGATAGAATATAAATTCTTTTCTACAAGTCTTTATCACATTTTTATCAAGCATTCGAAAAAGTAGAAGGAAAATCACTGTGCTTATTCTCACTTCTATTAAACACTAAAGGTTTTGATTCCTATCAACTTATCAAGGTCATCATCCCGTCCATCCCCCTGTACTACTGACATGTTTCCAGTTCTTATCAGTCATGAGTACTAGTGGCTAATTTTCCTCTTAAGTATTAATCAGTTTATTTTTCATGTCTTCTAAATGGAAGATAATTCTGAAGGCAATTCTTTAAAACACCATGTCTATACTGATCATGTCCTTGGTAGAGTTGAAAAATATCCATTTGGACTCTGATTAAAGAAAGATATTCTGCTATCTGCCATGGCTGATGAAAAAATCAATAATGTAATTTAAATTTAGATTTTTTCCAGTTTTCCCAATATTAATCACATAGCAACTGTCTTACATGTGGCTTGCTATAGTTTTTCATGAAGCCTAAGTGGTTCTTATTGTTTTCAGAATTTGCAGACTCTAGAATAGATAAGAGCATATTCCTAGTGAGAAATGTTAGAGAGATCATTAGAGACTTTAGGATCTAATTTTAAGCGTATTTACTTACAATAAAATTTCCCTTTAAATGTTTGACTTTGAATTACTTACACTAAAATTTCCCTTTAAATGTTTGACTTTGAATTACTTACACTAAAATTTCCCTTTAAATGCTTGACTTTGAATTATGCTTCCTTGGATGGATGGCCAGTAGTGGTACATCTAGGTGGACAATAGGGTTCTGTATGAACAAATAGGACCACCTTAATGCGATATATCCGTAAGCATAAGTTTCTATTAGATTACAAGACTGATTTCAGGACAAAGACTGCAAAAATGAATATACCACCATGAGATAAATAAAGCTATAGTTGAGGGACAACTGTATAAAATAACATACAACCTGAGAGAAGTGTACGTATGTGAGAGTACATGCACACAGAGTAACATCTAGAATCCTAGAACTACATTATTTTGTATTACTATTTCCCTTTTAAAGATGAGAACACCAAATCACAAATAGCTTTGGGTGTGTTCCTAGAATGGCACGGCAAAGCATACAGGGTCTGAACACTGAACCAGCCATCTCTTTAATGTCGTACCACCTTTCAGAATGGAAATAGATTATTGCTGCCTTTGTTTGAATTCTGGGTGGTAGAATGATTTTGAAATTTGCTGTGTCATGCAGCCCATGTCGTACATACATGCATTCAATGATAACTCTGCATAGAAATTTTTTTTTTTTTTTTGCTTTAAATAGGTCATCAATAACCTTGGTCCTTTGGAACTGATTTTGAATACTCCTAGTCATCACAGGGTTCATCATGGTAAGAAAGTTCTATTTGTTCTTCCTTTTCCTCATCATTGCATTAAAAATTGCAGAATCATTTTTTGGCTTACAGTAAAACAATGCCTTACAAGTTCAGCAGACATTGTTTTTTCCTTTTCTTACTCAGAGAAGCCTCAGTGCCAAAGCAGAGCCTGGGTTTCAGGTGGAGGGGAACTTTCCCCAACTCTTCCCTTCTTTCCAACTCTTAGCCTGGTGGAAAAGTAGGTCAAGCAACTAGAGAGAGGACTTTTCACATTTTGAAGGAGTCTGTTTTAGGCTTCCCTGACTTAGTACTGTGGATCTTCTCTGTCTATAACTAAAATGTTGGTATTAAAAAATGTTGGAATTTTAAAAGGCCTAATAACCAACACCTCTTTCTCTCACCTAAGTTCAGTGAACAAACTCAGCATAAGCTGTGTTTACCTGGTAACACCCCATGTAGCTACTATATAACATTTAGAGACACCAACCTTACTAATAAAAAAAAAAAGTTTTTGATTTGTGTAGCAGAAGAATTATTTAAAATGTCTTCATCAGCATTATTTGTGATGGGAAAATAAGAGAAAAAGAATTCAAATGTAAATAAGAGGAACAGATGAATAAATTGTACACTCTTCATGTAATGGAAACTCATGTAGTACTTAGAGTGTCCAAACTATGTCCAAAATTTGGTGGATACATGATGGCATCAATAAATCTTAGATGCATAATGCTGAGGGTACAGCAATAAATGTAATACATACTGTGCTATGCTTCTCTAAGTCTCTAGTCTTCACAGGCAGTATTAGAACACTGCAGTGTGGCCTTCCCAAGAGGAAGTTACCCCTTTCTCCATGGTAGGGGAAAGTGCACACAAGCTACCACAGGCACCAAAGAGGAAAACCAAGATCTTCGAAACTCTCCCCTCGCCAGGAAACAGTTAATGAAGGAGTGTCAAATTCTTGTGTATTATTTCAGATAAAAGAAAAAATCTGCGGTGAAGAAGTCCACAATAAAAAACAAATATCTGGTAGTTTCCCCCTCTTTGCGTCACCATCCCTCTTGTGTTGATTTCTACAGGAGCAGGTTTCTCACACCGACACTTAGATACTTTGGAATCTACTGCTCTGGGCATTGTAGAATGTTTAGCAAAATCCCTGACCATTGTCCACTTGATGGTATTTGTGCCCTCTTCTATTTGTGAGCACCAATAATGTCTTCACACACTGCACTTGATGGTATTTGTGCCCTCTTCTATTTGTGAGCACCAATAATGTCTTCACACACTGCCAAATGTAATTCTTTCAGGGGCAAAATGCTCCAGGTCCCAACAGAGAGCAGTGTATAGACTATGTAGGGCCTTAATATGTGCATGTGCTTAGCCAATCTCTTTCTATGTTTGCTCTCAGGGATGCTTTCCTTTGTCTGTGCTTCAAATACACGCTTGTATGTATGGAAGGTATGCCAATAAGGAAGGATGCATGCATAGCACATCAATGTTATTTTCATTCAGATTTACAGTTACATTTATATGATCATGCCTACTTAAGTTTTAAACTTATGTTAAGTTTAAAATGTAATTTGAGTATTTTGGAGCAGGAAAAATATTATATGTGCTAGGAGATGTAATTCCAACACCAGTTTAATTTTTGCTTATGTCTTTTAGTAATTAAAAAATTGCTAAATCTTGCTCTAATTTTCACTCTGTAACAGTGGCAAAAACAAGAATTAGAAATATATCCTATCAAAAATGAGAAGTAGAAGCACATATATATTATCTTATTTCATTTTTACATTCCTCTTCACGATTTAATTTTGAGTATTCCTTAGCAGTCTTAAAAAACTATTTATGTGGATATATTCAGATATTTAACTAAGAAGTTTAGAAAATATGTGTACTAAGATAATCTTGATCTCTTTTATAAGGTTGACCGAAAATAATTAAAATGAAACTCTACTACTGTCAAATAAAGTTTTGTATTTCCAATAAGGCATTCTTAAGCAAGTCATTCTGTTGCTTGAATCTTTATATGTATGTTCTAAAAAGTCAAAGAACTATTTCAAAAGCTTAACTTCGTATTTTTAAAAGAATTGTTTTTAACATTATGTCCCATAGGCAGAAATCGTTACTGCATAGACAAAAATTATGCTGGCACTCTTATTATTTGGGACAGAATTTTTGGTAAGTAAAAAGTATAATTATCAACATAATTAAATTAACTCTTTTATTCATGGAGAGTCATGGGTCATATCTGATTGCTTATCTTCCAGGGACGTTTGAAGCAGAGAATGAACGTGTTACATATGGTTTAACACATCCAGTCAATACGTTTGAACCATTCAAGGTGCAGGTAATGCAACCAGCCTTGTTCTTTCTGAATTTATGCAGTTTCAGAAATCTTATATTTAAGAAAAACAGTTGCTGGAAGGTAGAATTACATAACATTGTTCTGGGGAAAAATTGTTTTAAATATTAAAGAATTTGGAAGGAACTTTAGTACTTAAGTAAAAACTTGAGTCAAGAAAGAAAAGTCCATTAAAAAGAATATCATTATAAGAATTTTCAAATATGTCTACCACCCCAAATGAAAAGAAAGCGGCTCTTTAGCAACCATATTCTTTCTCAGAATAGACCTGAAATATATTCATGTATTCAGAAGGAACAGGAGTACTACATCTAATTGAGACTGATTCCACTATATGAAAAATATTTGCTTCAAGGCTCCAGCCTCTAGTTTTCATTAAACAAGAGGCCTTTGTGCTTCTAGACTTGAAGCTGGGTGTCAAGGAGTATTACGGATCAGTTAGGTCTACTCATTACCTCTCCTGTGAAGCCTAGGTGGAATGGACCAGTTTTCTGTTTGACATGTGGTATTGGTTGTTCACTGGCTTCAGTGGTTGACACTGGAGAAATGAAGAATGTCTATGAAGCTCTGATATGTCAGCATCAGACCACCACAAAGGCTCCTGGGGTTTGGACTCATATGGCAGAAAAAAGATAAGAATACTCAAAAAGCTGCAGTGGATAGCCAGTGACAGCTCTGTTCACTGGACCAGTTGCAGCTAGGAAGGAGCATGTTTAAGACTCATGTTGGACTTTCTTTGCAAACCTACCTCTTCAAATTTTCACAGAAAGTTGAAACAACAAAATAATCTGCGTCTATTCAACTTCTGCGATATAAAATACTCTGCAAACAGCATAGTACAGAATAGCTCATTTCACTGTTACAAGAACCATATAAAGTGTTAAGTCCCCCTGCTCCCTCTTCCCATTTTCTAGTGTGGGAAACTAAGGTTCCCAGGGTTTAAATAATTCCAAGTTACCTGCAAACTTAACCAAAGAGCTAAGGCCAAGACTCACTTAATTTAATTAAAAGTATATAGTGTGCAGTGTCTTCATACACCAAATGTGGGCAACCAAACTGCCATCACTTTTTTATTGAAAGTCATTTCTACCTGCCCACATATCAAAAGAGAAATGCTAATTTATCTCTTTTATTTTTTTCTACTACACATTTCTCTTTCCATAGAAATTCCAGGCTGTGTTAAGAACATGAGCCTCTAGGAAACACAAAACAAACATTTCCAGCTGCTTCCTTACAAATAATTCTTTAAAATTAACACCAATTTAGAAAATGTACACCTAAAGTCATTCTTCTTCACTTCAAGTAGTAATCGTATCCTTAATGTGGAAATTTCGTAAGAAATGCACACATTTGCCTCTCTTCTCTAGTACAGAGTTTTCCCAACCTAATGTTGACGTGAATCGAGGGATAACCCTTGTAAAGTTCAGGCTCTGTTCAGCAGAGCTGAGGATTGTGTTCCTAATACCTCGTAGGTAATGTCAATATTATTGGTAGATACTTAATACTTTCTTTAGCAAGGCTTTGGGAATACACACCTGTTTAGGATCAGTAGTTCATGTTTGAGGCAGAAAAAGAGAGTGAACATTGTAAGAGCTGTACAGAGTTAGCAGGACTTGAAGAAGCCCAACAGTGGGGCAAGGACATGTATTCCTGAGCCATTGCTTATCTGTGTTAGACAAATTCTCCAGGTGTCTACCTTCACAAAGTTTTCTTTAGCATAGAGATTGTTACAGAGAGTCTGAGGTTAAGCTCCTACATGCTCACTTTTAACCAGAAATGTCAAGTCAGCAACTTATAATTAAGAGTCCTTAAATTAAAACATCTATTTTCAGTAACATCCCTTTGTACAGAGCTAATTGCCTTACCTATCATTTATGGCATTCAAAGCAACATAAGATGGTGCTTATTAGACACTGGAACATGTTTGCTATTGTGAAGTATTCATGTATTTCTTTGATGGGGGTCTCAATGTTTCAGGGAATACAAAACAAACAAATGGGGGAAAGTCTTTATTTTAAAGTACTGCAATATATTGTACACAACTAGTATCCAGACTGGTAGAAAGAAAATTGAATTATATTTGCAAAATAAAATGGTTTAGCATTTTAATGCATAGTGAAATTCCTAAACATATTAATTTTCGCTGTTACTGTTAAAGCAGAGTTCCAGGATAAATTTCCATGTAACATTCACCTTGTCCTCAGAACCTGCTCCATTAAATCCTACATTGATTACTTCACAATGATTCTTAGAACATTTCATGCAAGTATAGAACCCATTTCTTTAAAACCTTGCAAATTAAAGTCATTCAGAGACTGCTAAAACACCAGCAAGACCAGAAATTCAGAAGCAAAAATTCTCTGCCCATTAATATCATTTTGTATTTACAATAAAACTTACTCTTAGAGCCTAGAACTTATGCCTAAACCCTAAGAATATTTTAAATTCTATGGTGCATTATGTCACTTGTGTGGACTATACAGTGCATTTTCTTGTTAGTATTTACTGAGTGCTTACACGTGGGCACATTTTTTTATATTCTGTCTATGTCAAATGAACACCATTTAAAGAAAGTGGATTCCTGCTATGAGACTCATTGTGAACTTTCCCCTCTGTCATCAAACTTTTCCTCTCTAGTTACAGACTATGGGTGGTTTAATACTTGGAAATCTACAACCTGAAATGGAGTGAATGTTTATTTCAATATGATGTGTGTCTATAAAACAGTACATTTAAAGTTTTTTTTTAATTGAACAGATATATTCACTCTTTGAATGCTTCCAGGTTTAATTTTATATTTATTTAATAAGACTTTGGAAAGTATGTCAATAGATAAAAATGTTGGGTTCATATGCAGCTAGTTAATTTCATTTGCACAAAGTCCCATAACTTACTTTTTCTTCTTTGATGATTTTGTAACCAACTTAATTTAATTTGTATCTAAATTATAATTTCATCTAACTTAAAAATATTGATAAGAATGTATTTTAAAGATAGATATATGGAATATATAGAATGAATTGCAATACATAATGTAATTACACATTAATAAATTAACCTAGTCATGCATAATATGTATTAAAGAAGGTGTGTACATTATATTGAACAAAAGAATAAAGTGTATAATTAGTTTTATTTAATTTTTCTGCTATGCTTCTTTTACTTTGGAAAAACTTTTTTTTTAATTTTTATTTTTCCTAGTTCCACCATTTGCATTACATATGGGCTACATTCTGGGCCACACCTGGATTCTTCCATAAGTTTTCTGTCCTATTTAAAGGACCAGGATGGAGCCCAGGTAAACCAAGACTTGGCCTGAGTGAAGAAATTCCAGAGGTAAACAAAGTTCTTGGAGTTGAAGATGGTGAAGCTTAGTCTCATGCTAGGTCTGCAGCCAGTCTGCTTGAAGACTATGTTCATGCACATCTATAAAAATATGTTCCCTTAATCAGGTGGTAGTGGATAGTTTAATGAGTAGATACCGCCCTGGGGGTGAATAAGGGGGTTGTTGGCTTTCCAAAAGATGTTGGTTCATTTCAGAAAACAGTTTGATAACCAGTAGAAACTGGTTATCAGAGTCACACAAGCTCTCGTTCAAGAGCCTTGTATGACATATAACACAGAGGCATGGGCCTCCCATGCAGAATCCCAGCCCCTCATACACGGAGGGAGCTCTAGGGCTTAAAAGGTCTGTTCTACCGGGCATGGTGGTCCACGCCTTTAATCCCAGCACTCGGGAGGCAGAGACAGGCGGAAGGTTATTAAATAAATTTTTTAAAAGACAAAAATAAATAAATAAATAAGCAAATAAATAAATAGCCAGGGGTGGTGGCGCACGCCTATAGTCCTAGCACTTGGGAGGCAGAGGCAGGTGGATCTCTGTGAGTTCAAGGCCAGCCTGGTCTACATAGTGAGTAGACCACAACAGGTGGGGCTACAGGGAGACCCTGCTTCAAAAAGACAAAATGAATGAATAAATAAATAAATAATAAATAAATAGAAAGAGTACATGAAGTTATCAGAAAAAAGTGATGGGCAGATATGGGAGGAATGACATGAATAGATGAAGTGCCTAAGCAAAAGGTCTAAAGTCATGTAAAGATAATGTCATTTCTATGCCAAATTAGAGCTGAATTTATTTGATAGTTGAGTAGAAATATTAAATACAGAAATAATTTTAAAACCAATAAAAAGAAATACATGAGTTTCACATTGGAAACCATGAAAGTTTTCATTTCAACCTGAAAATCTCTTCTAGAAAAAAAAATGAAGTTTTTATTCAATCGTTCATGATGTGTTCTATGTTTCTTTATCAGATAAAGGCAGAAATAGAAGTACAGAAACAATAAAGTATTGACAATTTAAAAGATGTTATTTTTGATATAAAATTATCATGTGATATTTTAAATATCTTTTATCTGAATATTATTATTTTGCTACTTTAAATATCTTAAATTTCTTATGTCTTATGTCCATAATTGATTATAATTAGTCAACTTGATATAAGTGAAAATATTTTGATGTAGGTGAAAATATTTCTTCTCTAAAATGCCTAGGAAGAAAATATTGTTTTAAATAAATTGATCAAAGTATTTTAAAATTATATGGGTATGTAGGTATGCTATATAAAAATAAAAGTATAATATAGCACTTCTGGAAATCTTGGTAGTTTAATAAACTTGTTCTAATAAAATATTACTCAATTTAGAGGTATGGCTGACTTATACTGCCAAGAATCACCTTCTTTCCTTTCTTGATTATGTTTCTGGGTATATTTTCAGGCACCAAAGTTTCCAATTTATTCTCCTTGGCTGTTGTTATCATATGTACACATTGCTGAAACAGTTATGACTTTGCTCTTTACTGCAGACTAAATCACAACCATAGTACAGTGTTTCTGCACTGACAAGCAACTCTCTCTAGACATTTTTCTACCTGAAGAACTGAAATTCATTTCATTACTTTCTCCCCCCTTCGCAAAATGTGAATTTAGCAATAAAAATAAGCCTTGGAATATCATAAATGAATGGTTTCCTTCTTATCTACCTAGGTTACAGGGCAAGAAATTCCTTTCTCATCATCAGCATCCCAGCTACTGAAGATATACACAGTTCTTCAGTTCGCTGTGATGCTAGCATTTTATGAAGAGACCTTTGCAAACACTGATGTAAGTAACATCTATTTTAAATATACTGTGAGAAAATTATCTGTCACTTTTTAAAATTTGAAATAAGCTCTCCCTTTGCGGCCTGGCTCTTTTTTATTTATAACTGTTTTCATTTTGGAATCAGCACATACTTAAACAGGTAAATTAATTCTTTTAGAGTATTAACGGTAAATAAATTAATTATATCCAAAGTGCTGCTGTATAGAATATCCATCAAGTAGCTTGTCATCAATCTAAATGATAAATAAGAAATGCCTTTGCATAAAGGATTTCACAATAATTAAAATAATACACTTCAGAAATCAGAATTAAATATGTTTATGAAAGCATATTTTCCATCAATTTCAAGAGCCCTAATATATAGAGGAAAAAACTTGATAGAATGACTTTAGAGAATTTTCATAGTAAGGTTTACATTATTTTTCCTCCCTAAGATATTCATAATACTTTATTTTGGATAAGGCAGAAGTAAGAGCATTAGTTTAACTGAGGAATGAAAAATCATTAGTCCAAAAAAAATTAATAAAATGGTAAAGTAAATGAATAAGGAGTACATGAAACAAAAATAAAATCACAGAGTTAAAAGGTCCCTGAACTGGTTCCTTGCTAAAAAGAAAATATACATCTCATGAAATAATCTCACTGAGCCAGGAATGTTGAGGGTTGCAAGTTGCTCTGTATAAAAATGGTTATACATTAAAGAAATAGAAGGTGTTTCTATTTCTTTGAATATTTTGGGTTTAAATGCACCTACTTTTAAGATGTACAGAGTATCTAAAGTGTATAGATTATATGTATGAAATAACTTGTGAAATGCACAAAAAAACTAAAAAAATTGGAGAGCACTTAGGAGGCTAAAAATGTTAAAAAGTATGAATGCTGTAAGGAAGTGGTGGTTTGGTCATGGATTGAGGTGACGGAGCTGAGGGCCTGCATCAGTCAGATATTGCACCTCAAGTACAGTAGTTGATTTTAAAATAAAATTAAAAACACTCAGTAAAACAAGAAGAAAACAAAAGTATGCCAAGGAAGATTTGTTGTCTTGCACTTGGCATGGAGGAGGCAGAAAAATAAAGTTTCTTGCCTAAGATGTTTTAACTATCTAGTCCTCATAGAGAAATAAATGAAGACATACTACTGTGAATGAAAGTTCCCAGGAAAACTTGAATCTTCAAACTGAACCTTCTGCAAAGCTGATCAACTGATTAGAACTTTAGTGATTGTGGAGAGTTTAGAATGTTGCCAGTCCATAACCTAATTACCATTTATTATGGGTCATCTTTAGTTACTAAATGGTCATTCCTTGCCAACCTCTGTGTCTGACAATATCCCATGGCTAACAGATAAAAAAAAAACTGATTGAAATGTATTAACTTAGCAGACCATCAGGTTCCACCAACCCAATGACTAAATAGCCCATCAGATAGCATCTAAGGCCTGTGGCAGAGCTCTCTCTGCTAAACTATAACCCACCTGTCTGATATCTGCACCAACACACTTGACAAGTGTCTTGATTTATAGCTTTCTTTATTCTGTTATTACAAAAACTTCTTGAAACTCTTGCCACATTGGAACATGGAATTTTGGGTAACCTAAATCTGTGTATTAAGGCCATTATTACTGATATTTAGCTCCAGAATAAACCATCTCTCCCTTTGAGGTGACAGCTGTGTCTTTGCATGGACAATAACAATGGTCTGAATAAACCCCAGATCAGAACAAATTTTAAACTGATTTCAGATTAGATCTTGGGTACTTAAAAAATGTTCAAATTATGCCTTCAGATAACACATAATTTCAGTTCTGAACATTTTCTCAAATAGCATTCCAACAATTATAAACTCAGAATTAAAAAACAAAAAGAAATCTAACAAGAAAAAGCATGAGCCATAATCACAAAATCAAACTCTCAAAGAGAACAAGAATTAGAAATTAATATAATCAAAGTATTGAGTAAAGTTAGTATTTGGAAGGACAGATTACATTTAAGATAAACCAAGAAATCTTGAACACCTATGAAAAACATGTAAGTAGCAGAAATTAATAATGTGTGTTACACTGGGTCAGAGTGCTGTGATAATACTTTCATTATTAAATCTTTTATAATTAAATAATTATACACCCACAGTATTCCATTATAGCAATCATATGATAGATGATAGATAGATAGATGATAGATAGATAGATAGATGATAGATAGACAGATAACAGATATTGAATTATAAAAAATAGAAGTCTATTTGAAATAGGTTCTTGACTATATCAAGCAGAAATTTTTGGATATGTGACTGAAATTCAACTCAGTAAATTATTGATTCATATAACTGAAAACTTTGGACAGTTTCCTCCTCAAACAGCGTTTCATCTGAAAAGCTGAGTAACATCGCTAGGGTTCTTTCTTTCTTGAAGCTGTTCTTTGCTCAGCCACTCTAGTTTTTATTTTTTTAATTTGTGTTTTTTATTATTCCAAAGAGATGCAATTTTTAAGACATTTTTCCAGAAATAACTTGAAGCAGATTTTATATATACATATATATAAAATGAAGTTTGAGAGGGGGGATAGGAATAAGAAATCAAAGAGCAAAGGATCTGCCAACATGGGGTCGACTTTGGTGGAATAATGAAGGATGAAGGTTTCCATTAGCTCTGTCTTTTTTAAAAAAAAATCCTAATGAGTTTATTGGACTTGCTAATAGAGCATAGGGTGGGAGAGTTTATTTACAGAACCATGAGTGCCCCATCATTTACAAATGCAATGGAGTGTCCACACTCAAATATAGATCTGTGACTTCCCAACAGCTGCACAATATGGTGAGAGAGGTGCCTCATGGCATGCTTGGCTTATATATTCTTAGCCTCTCCCCCACATGCAGCCAAGGTCAACTGATTAGGTGGAAGGTGTAACGAACTGACTCCCCCATCAGCTCCTTGACTAGCTTGGGAAGGAAGTGTGACTGTAACTTGTTGTCCCATTTCAGTGGGATTCTATCTACTATAAAAACACAAACAGCAAGAGGTAAGAACATCTATGGGTGTAAAGACAAATGCTTAGATGGCATTTCAGTAGGTGCATCACATCCAACAAAGCAATTGCAGTGGCTTCCCACTGGAGCCTGAATCCTCCCCTGCCACAGGGACTTGGCCTGGTCTGCAGTACCAGATGTGTGTTCTATTCTCTAGGAGTGGGCATTATAACCAATCGAAAATTTGCTGGGTGTACATACACTAGACGCACCACTATTGAGCCACTCTAGTTTGAAATACTGATAGAACTGCAGGTTTGACTGTACCAACATTAAGCTTAATGAAATGGCCTGGCTCATGTTCACATTCCCAAGTTACGCAATGTGGTCAGGCTTTGAAGCGAGTGAACTGAAAGGAGAGATAGGGTGGTTTGAAGAAAACTAGTGTGGAAAATATATAGAAAAAGCAAAATAGATCTGAGGGTGGAAAAAATGAGTATCTACTTGAGGCATACAAGTCCTGACCAGTCCTGAATATATTATGCAATTGTTTTTCAAACTATTCTTGGATCTCTTGTAAAATACACTGTGAGTCTGCTCTGCCTGCAGAAGTCTGTTTTTATTTAATGAGTGTTTGGTATGAGTATCTGTTAGATGTCTTCTATTCTATAAAACAGAATATCCAATTAAATGATGATTGGATACAACTGCAAATTTAGAATCAAGCATCTCCATGATAGACTAGCTCAGCAATTCAAACCTGTAATGGTTCCCAAAAATCTTCTGCAAATTTTTCTTTTAAATTAAAAAAAAATCTTTATTGAGAATTTCATAATGCATATAAAGGTATTTTGATCAAATCCACATCCACTTTCTCCCCTCTAACACCTCCCATATACTCTCTCTCCCTTCCTTCCTTCCTTCCTTCCTTCCTTCCTTCCTTCCTTCCAGATTCTCTATGTGCTTTACACAGAATGCTGCCAGGTTCTGATGGAATGAACTCATGTGGTCCAATTTCTTGATGCCGAAGTAGTATTCCTAACAATTTAACTTCAGAGTGATGAATGGAAAGGCATTTCACCTGTATTATTTTAGCCTTTGGAACAGAGTGTGTTTCTAAGAGGCCCAAGGACATTTTCACTTTTAGCCAAGAAACTGGCTACTTTTCTCTGGGGTCTTTTTACCCTAACTGCCTAGCCAATTCCTACCTACTGTTCTCACCACACCATCCTCCAAAGGGGTTACCCTAATTGCCAATAGGGAATAGGGATGCAGATCACTCTGGCTTCTTGCATGCTGAACAGGGACACAGGCTGAGGCAATCGGAGTAACCCTTTAGTGGATCTATCTAAAAGACTCCCCAATTGTATAACTCTTATCTGTAGGGAGAAAAGAAAATCATTTCTGGTGAATAGGGGATGTGGATAATGTGTGGAAGGAAGCCATTTTCATTTTTAACACTATTTAAAATCTTTTTTAAAGTGTTTTATTATTTTCTATGTGTATGAGTGTATTGCCTGCATGTATATAAGTGCACCTGTGTTGTGCAATGCTCATGGAGATCAGAAGAGGGCATCAGATCCCCTAGAACTAGAGTTATGGCCAGTTGCAGGCCACCATATAGATGCTGGGATTTGAACCACAGTCCTCTCTCTGCAAGAACAGTCAGTGCTCTTAACCACTGAGCCATCTTTCTGGTCTCACTATTTAAAATCTTAATTTCAAATCAACAATCAATGTTGGTCTACCCATATGTATTTCTGTTTCACTATTTTTTTTTGTTGCATTCAAAGTTACTAGTCAAATACTCCTCCATTTAGTAACCTCAGTTTTGAACATCAGATAAATTTGCATGAGTTCTCTGTCTACATCTGTCAGTATACAACTAAAAAAATAATAATACAGGAAAGCATGTGATAGACTTCCCTACTTGTAGCAGAAAATAATGTAGACTCTAATTTACATTTTGTAAAATGAAAATACAAATGATATATGACAAAATATTTTAAAAATATGATTATTGGCTATATTCTTGAC